TTAATCATAAGGGCATAAAGCAAGCACTACTTCACACTGCCGAAGCCATCTCTGAACTCATTCTATATAAAATGACTTGTCAAAGTCGTTTTAAACTCTTGATTTTCTTAAGAAGAAGGATGTGAATTGAAGAGACTTATAAAGACTGAATTTCATACAGTAAAAATTTAAAAATCTACTTTATCAGAATTTTTATTAAAACAAATTTTAATCTCAGTGTTTTACATTATAACCCTCTCCTTATGTTTTATTTTAATATAAACCAATTTCAATGCAATCTGTTTAAAAAAAAAAGAGGGGGCAGCATCATAAGCACATTTAATGTTCAAGATACTTCATGAGATATTGTTGGGATATTCACATCAATAATACAATCTAATTTCAAGGAGTTTATATAACCACAAACATACATGACTAACTCTAATACAAAATAGAATGTGATTAAGTACTTAAAATAGAGCACGCCGCCAAGCGCTATGAAGCGCAAAGGTATCTACTCCAACTTCCCTGTTCATATGTGAGAACAATGAGCTGAAAGATGTCATAAAACAAGATAACACAGAGCCAGGAAAAGGCGGATATCTGTCTTGTTAACAAGTCTAAGGCTTCCACCACTCTACCATGCTTTCTCCCAACCAATCTTTTTCCCTATCACTTTTAATGTTAACAAAAAATAATATTGGTGTAATTTCTCCCTTTCTCTAACGTATAAAAAATTCGACTTATCCCAAGCATCTTCTTTTAAACATACACTCAGTATTTGAAGAACCATAATTTCATAGAGCCTACTACTATGAATATGACTTATTAACATTTAATGAGTGCTTACCATATGCCAGGAGTCCCTGGATGGTACAAACGGTTAAGCACTCAGCTAAACTACAAATCAAAAGGTTGGTAGCTCAAATCTACCCAGAGGCACCTCGGAAGAAGGGCATGGAGATCTACTTCTGAAAGATCACAGCTACTGAAAACCCTATGGAGCACAGTTCTACTGTGACACACACAGGGATGCCATGAGTTGGAATCAATATGAGAATTTGTTTATTGTTGATGTTTAAGTGAAAGTTTACATTTCAAGTTAGTCTCTTATACAAAAATTTATACATACATTGTTATGTGACCCTAATTGCTCTCCCTACACTGTGACAGCACACTCCTCCTTTCCACCCATGATTTCCCATTTCCATTCAACAAGCTCCTAACCCTCTCTGCCTTCTCATCTCACCTCTGGACAGAAGCTGCCCGTGTAGTCTCATGTATCTACTTGAGATAAGAAGCACACTCTTTATGAGTACCATTTTATGTCCCACAGTCCAGTCCAATCTGTCTGAAGAGTTGTCCTCGGAAATTGTTTTAGTTCTGGGCTGATACAGTCTGGGGGCCACGCCTTCTGGGGTTCCTCCAGTCTCATTTAGACCATTAAGTCTGGTCTTTTTACTAGAATTTGAGTTCTGCAACTCACCTTTCTCCTGCTCCATCAGAGACTCTCTGTTGTGTTCCCTGTCAGGGTGGTCACTGGTGGTAGCTGGGCACCATCTAGTTCTTCTGGTCTCAGGCTGATGAAGTCTCTGGTTTCTGTGGCCCTTTCTGTCTCTTGGGCTAATACTTTCCTTGTGTCTTTGGTGTTCTTCATTCTCCTTTACTCCAAGTGGTTGGAACCAATTGATGCAAGCTTTTAAGACCCCAGATGCCACTCACCAAAGTAGGATGCAGAACATTTTCTTAATAAACTTTGTTATGCCAATTGACCTAGATGTCCCCTGAAAGCATGGTCCCCAGACCCTTGCCCCTGCTACTCTGTCCCTCAAAGTGTTTGATTGTATTCAGGAAACTTCTTAGCTTTGGTTTAGTCAAGTTGTGCTGACTTCCCCTGTAGTGTGTGCTGTCCTTCCCTTCACTTAAGATTATTCTTGTCTACTATCTAGTTGGTGAATAACTCTCACCCTCCCTCCCCATCCTCATAACCATCCAAGAATGTTTTCTTCTGTGTTTAAACCTTTTCTTGAGTTCTTATAATAGTGGACTTATACAATATCTGTCCTTCTGTGACTGACCAAATTCACTCAGCATAATGCCCAATACAAGAATTTTTGACGGCAACTGGTTGGTTACTATACGCTAGGCCACGTGTTAAGTGCTTTATGAGTATCTCATTTAATCCTCACCACATTATGAGGTAGGTACTATTATTATATCTGTCAGTTGAGGAACTAAGGATATAATGGTTAGTGATTAGTCCAAGTTTTAACACAGCTATAAGTAGTAGGCCTTGCTTGACTCTAGAGCCTGTTCTTGAGTTGGAATCAACTCAAAGGCAACTGGTTTGGTTTTGGTATACTGTCTACTAAGGGGAAAAAAGTATACATTTTAAAATTAATATTTAGAACTCAATGGTAAGCCTATAATCTATACTGGGAAATGATCAAGAGATTTTCTAAATTGTATTTAAAGAATCTACTTAAAGTATGTCAAGCTGTTCTTACACACAGGAGAAGTATTTAAAAAAAAAAACAAAAACCCAAACCCATTGCTGTCGAGTCGATTCTAACTCATAGTGACCCTATAGGACAGAGTAGAACTGCCCCATAGGGTCTCCAAGGAGCAGCTGGTGGATTCGAACTTTCGACCTTTTGGTTAGCAGCTTGAGCTCTTAACCACTCTGCCACCAGGGCTCCAGGGGAAGTATATGTTAGGCAATTTTTCATTTATGCTTATAAGAACTTCATAAAAGAAACTGTGAAATAATAAAGAAAAACAAATCGCTCAAGCAACTGTCAGAGCATAAAATAAAGAATAAGCCAATTGTAAAAATACACTTAAAATTTAGTTATCCAAAGAGAAAGTCAACATGATTTTTTTTTTTTAACATGATTTTGATAATTGGAAAAAAGTATGTCAGCAAATGACTAAAAGACTAACATCTAAAAAACACCTCGGATCCAGGACATAAAAACATAAAAATCCAACTTTGATTTCTCATTAAAGTCATAAATGATAATTAGCACTGGCATAAGGATAGATATATAAATCAATGGAATAGAATTAAGAGTTCAAAAATAAGCCCTAACATCTACGGTCAAGTGATTTTTGACAAAGGTTTCAAGATAATCCAATGGTGAAAGAACAGTCTTTTCAACAAATGGTGCTGGGACAACTAGAAATCCACACGTAAAAGAAAGGAGTTGAACCTCCTACATCATACACAAAAATTAACTCAAATGGATCACAGTCCAAAACGTAAGTGCTAAAGCTATAATAGTATAAAACTCTTACAAGAAAATATAGGAGTAAGTCTTTGTGACCTTGGATTGTTGTTGTTAGGTGCTGTCGAGCCGGTTCTGATTCATAGCGACCCTACAGGATGGAGTAGAGCTGCCCCATAGGGTTTCCAAGGAGCAGCTGGTGGATGTGAACTACCAACTTTTTGGTTAGCAGCTGCGCTCTTAACCACTAGGCCACCAGGACTTGTTTTCTTAGATATGATACCAAAAGCACAAGTGACAAAAGAAAAATTAGATAAATTGGATTACATCAAAATTTAAAACTTTTATACTACAACTGACATCATCAAGAAGATGAAAAGACAATGCACACAATGGGAAAAAAAAATCTGCAAACCATATACCTGATAATACGGGTTAAGTGTCCAGAATATAGAAAAACTCTTCCAACTCAATAATAAAAACACAAATAACCCAATTAAAAACAGGCAAAGAAAGGTCCCTGGCTGGCACAAACAGTTTTTGCTGGGCTTCTAACTGAAAGGTTAGAGGTTCAAATCTACCCAGCAGTGCCACAGAGGAAAGGCCTGGCAATCTATCTCTAAAAATTACAGCTATGGAAGGGGAATGGGCAGGGGATACGAACAGACATTCTCCAAAGAAGATACACAAATGGCCAATAAGCACATGAAAAGATGCACGGTATCATTAGCCATCAGGGGACTGCAAATCAAAACCACATGAGATATTACTTTAAAACCAGTCGCTTTCAGGTCAATTCCAATTCATGGTGACGCCATGTGTTTCAGAGTAGAACTGCACTCCAGAGGATTTTCAATGGCTGTTATCTCTCGGAAGTAGATCACCAGGCCTTTCTTCCAAGGAGTTTCTGGGTGGATTTGAATCACCAACCTTTCAGTTAGTAGCTGGCCGCTTAAGTGTTTGTGCCACCCAAGACTCCTGATATTATTTTACATTCACTAAAAAAAAAAAAAAAAAACTAGTTGCCATCAAGTCAATTCTGACTCATGGTGACCCCATGTGTTATAGAGTAGAACTATACTCCGTAGCGTTTTCAGCGGCTATGACCTTTCAGAAGCAGATCACCAGGCTTTTCTTCCAAGGTGCCTCTGAGTAGGTTCGAACTGACAACCTCTCAGTTAGTAGTAGACTGCTTAACTGTTTGCTCCACCCAGAGACTCCTATGGAGTTACCACATGACACTTCCATCAGGTATGACACAGATGACTCCCCAGAAGCCTAGGGCAAAAGCCAGATTTCTCTTTGGGCAAGATCAAATTCTTTACTACACAGGCATGCAACTGACATCTAATAGGTAGAGCCAGGGATGCTGCTAAACATCCTACAATACACAGGACAGCCCCCACAACAAAGAATTCTCTGTTCCAAAATGTCAATACTGCTGCTATTGACTGGCATACAGTAATTCATTCAAGTTATTGAAGAGCACACCATTCACTTATCCTCTCTCAAGATCAATCACAAGTTAATTAGTACTTAGCCTCTACCAATACTAAGTACTTAGCCTATACCAATACTAAGCCTCTAATACTCTTAATACTATTAAGTAGCATCTACTAATACTACTTTACTAAGGTAATTTGGAATTTAAATGAATGGATTTTTCTGAATAGGTTATAAAACAGATATGAAACTACATGAAATAAAAGCAAAGATACACACATATGTTTTAAAAATAAACAATTACATATTACACTTAAATCTAAGAGGAAAAAAGATAAAGAAAGCACTTACTGTAAAAATGTTCTAAATTCTGAAGCTTCAAAGTTCTCCACAACAATGGGCTCATGATTTGTTAAATTGTTTGATGTTTTTCCAATAGTATGATAATAGAAGTCAGGAACCCTTGCTAAAAGGACTGCTTTGTGTGCCTTGAACAAAGTACAACCTATACAGAAAGTAACATCTGTATGGATTTCTTCCCTTAGAAGCCTGTAAGGTATAAGAAAGAATCATAGCTTAATTAAGAAATATATAATATACCCATTTTTAAATAGATTTAAAAAAAACACATAAATTTAAAAATAGAGATGCAACATGAAATAAAAATAAGTTAATATAAAGATGAGTTTGTTCTCAGTGCATTCTAAAGAATGTTGTTTAATATTGGCTTATAAACTAATTTCCTAAAATTTATAGTGAAAACAAATATAATTTCACTAAAACAGTAAAACCACTTTTTCAAAAAATATCATTTCTTATTAAATTCCTTCTAATAACAAATTTAAAATTTATACTACTTATAGTTATTTTCCTTTAAAAACGTATATTCTTTAGATTTATTTTGAAAAACAGAACACTGGATAACATGGTCATTGAATATTAAAAAACCTATTTTTTAAAAAATGTTGCTAAAATTGAAGCAGAAAAGTAAACACCAACAAAGTAGATATAACAATAGACAATTCAGATTAGAAACTGGTGCTCTTTGTTCTAATGCTAAATCACAAGTTTGAAATGCAAGCTCGACTGTCAAGAATGTGACATTTAAGCTCTATTTCATTTTTTTCCCCACAAATAGAAGTAACCATCCTGTGCAGTTCTACCCAGACACATAAAGGGTAACTACGAGTCAGAATTGACTTAACGGAACAGATTTTTCAAAACGTATTATTAAAATGATGGACTCATAGGGGAAACGCATTCAAATCCCTTTACTAGTGTACAGACACAGTCATGGGAAACCTAACCAATTATGTTTACATGTAAAGTGATGGAATGATTGAAATCAGCATCATAATGGAATCTGTCAGATTACAATCTTTTTTTCTCTTTTTGTTAACTTTCTATTTTTACTCTCTAAATATTAAGTAATACTTCATATCACTATAGCATTATTGTTAGCATGGTATGTATTCTCAGAGGACTTCTGTACTGCAGGAAATAATTGGCAATCATGCCGGTACACTACAGGAGGTACAAGTAATGGATAAAGACATCCATTACACTGAAAGCCTGGAAAGCTGCCACTGACACACTCCCCCAAGACCAAGTTAGGGGCTCCTTCCTCTGATCCCATCGCACTCTGTACATACCTCTACGACAGCACTTGTCGCTGCATCATTATTTTTATGTCTTTCTTCTTACTAGACAATAAACTCCCCAACGGCAAAAACTGTATCTTTAGTATATAGCAAGAGCTCAATTTCTGCTTGGTGAATAATCATATTTTGCCCTAAATGAAACAAATTTTTCTAAGCACAGAAGCTTTCAGCACCTTGAAAACAATGAGCAGATACAGCTTAGTTTGGTCAATCTTTCATCAACAGATTATTTTCATAAATGATTTTAAAAGTTATGTAAAAATGTGTTGGTCTCTCAAACTTTAATAAAAACTTAAATTGTACAACAATTTGTTCTTTCCTCCCATCCACTTTCTCCCTATCCCCTACTCCTCCCCATGGTAATTTTAAAGCACTGCAGTTGCTAGCCATACAGTCATCACTAGGGAATCCACCTTGTGGCTAACAGATGCCCAAGAGTATTTGTTAAATTAAAAAAAAAAAAAAAAAAAAAAGAATTAATGAGAAAATACAGTGATTTTTATTTTGTAAAACCACTTGTGTCACTTAGGACTTTGTTACTAGTAAGAGAAAATAAAATCTGACTCAGACTGGCTTAAACATTAACAGGGTTTATCAGCTCATCTAATAGTAAAATCTGGAGGAAGGGCAGGTTGGAGGAATGACTCAACTATATCAAGGCTCAGTTTCTTTCCATCTCATTGCTCTGCCAACAACTGTATTAACCTATCTTAAGCATTTTAGACTGTTGGTAAAACTTGGATGTCACGAATCATTTACTGAGCACATACTATGCACTAGGTGCTGGGGACATAAAGATGAGTAAAATACAATCCTGTCCTCAAGAAGTTTATAGCATAGTAGGGAAGCCAGGCCTGAAAATTATAAAGTGTGATAATTCAATAACAAAAATAAGTATATTTTTTTTTCAGGGGCAGACATAAGAGAAGATCTCATAAAACAAAAACCAAACCCACTGCCTTGAGTCAATTCCAACTCATAGCAACCCTACTGTACAGAGTAGAACTGCCCCAGAGGACTTCCAAGGATGTAAATTCTTACGGAAGCAGACTGCGACATCTTTCTCCCGAGGAGTGGCTGGTGGTTATAGCAGCCGAGCACTTTAACCACCATTCAAACTCTTCCCTGGAGCAAAGAAGGCCTCCATGATCTAGTCTTAGTCTACCCATTCACCCTCATCTGCTGTCACTTTGACTGCCTGGTCTTCCAAATAAAGTTACCAAAGTCATTTATTGTGTATGCGTGGCCATGCTTTGTACCACATGACCTAGAAAACCTAACCACATCTGAATGGACAAGGATATGGCATTTGAGTCAAGAATTGTTGTTAGGTGCCATCAAGTCGCTTCTGACTCATAGCGACCCTATGTACAACAGAACGAAATGCTGCCCGGTCCTTCATCATCCTCACAATCATTGTTATGCCTGACCTCACTGTTGAAGCCACTGTGTCAATACATCTAATTGACAGTCTTCCTCTTTTTCACTGATCCACTACTTTGCCAAGCATGGTGTCCTTCTCCAGGGACTGGTCCCCCCTGATAACATGTCCAAAGTATGTGAGACGAAGTTTCACCATCCTTGCTTCAGGAGCATTTTGGCTGTACTTCTTCCAAGACATATTTGTTCGTTCTTCTGGCAGTCCACGGTATAGTCAATATTCTTTGCCAACACCACAAGTCAAAGGCATCAATTCTTCTTCGGTCTTCCTTATTCATTGTCCAGCTTCTGCATGCATATGAGGCGACTGTAAACATCATGGTTTAGGTCAGGCGCACCTTAATCCTCAAAGTGACACTTTGCTTTTCAACACTTTAAAGATGTCTTTTGCAGCAGATTTGCCTGATGCAACATGTTGTTTGATTTCCTGACCGCTGCTCCCATGGGCGTTGATTGTGGATCCACATAAAATGAAATCCTTGACAACTTCAATATTTTCTCCACTTATCATGATGTTGCTTATTGGTCCAGTTGTGAGGATTTTCGTTTTCTTTATGCTGAGGTGCAATCCATACTGAAGGCTGTAGTCTTTGATCTTCATCAGAAAGTGCTTCAAGCCCTCTTCACTTTCAGCAAGCAAGGTTGTGTCATCTGCATATCACAGGTTGTTAATTAGTTTTCCTCCTATCCTGATGCCACATTCTTCTTCATACAGTCTAACTTCTTGGATTATTTGCTCAGCATATAGACTGAACAAGTGTGGTGAAAGAATACAACCCCGATGTACACCTTTCCTGACTTTAAACCCGTAGAATCCCCTTGTTCTGTTTGAATGATTGCCTCTTGATCTCTGTACACTTCTGCATGAGCACAATTAAGTGTTCTGGAATTCCTATTCTTCACAATGTTATCCATAACTGGTTATGATCCACACAGTTGAATGCCTTTGCATAGTCAATAAAACACTGGTAAACATCTTTCTGGTATTCTCTGCTTTCAGCCAAGATCTATCTGAGATCAGCAATGATATCCCTCATTCCACATCCTCTTCTGAATCCGGCTTGAATTTCTGCCAGTTCCCTGTCGACGTCCTGCTGCAACTGCTTTTGAATGATTTTCAGCAAAATTTTACTTGCGTGTGATATTAATGATATTGTTTGATAATTTCTGCATTCTGTTGGGTCACCTTTCTTTGGAATGGGCACAAATATGGATCTCTTCCAGTCCAGGAAGTTGTCTTCCAAATTTCTTGACACAGACAAGTGAGCACCTCCAGTACTGCATCTGTTTGTTGAAACATCTCAACTGGTATATTCCGTCAGTTCCTGGAGCCTTGTTTTTTGCCATTCCCGTCAGTGCAGCTTGGACCTCTTCCTTCAGTACCATTGGTTCTTGATCATATGCTACCTCTGGAATTGCTGAATGTCAACTAATTCTTTTTGGTACAGTGACTCTGTGTATTCCTTCCATCTGCTTTTGATGTCTCCTGTGTTGTTCAATACTTTCCCCCATACAATCCTTCAATTTGGCTACTCAAGGCCTGAATTTTTTCTTCAGTGCTTTCAGCTTGAGAAATGCTGAGTGTGTTCTTCCCTTTTGGTCCTCTAACTCCAAGTCTCTGCACATTTCATTATAATACTTTATGTTGTCTTCTTGAGCTGCCCTTTGAAATCTTCTGTTCAGCTCTTTTACTTCATCATTTCTTCCTTTTGCTTTAGCTACTCTAGCAAGTTTCAGAGTCTCTTCTGGCATCCATTTTGGTCTTTTCTTTCTTTCCTGTCTTTTTTTAAATGACCTTTTGCATTCTTCCTGTCGATATCCTTGATGTAATTCCACAACTCATCTGGTCATCGGTCATTAGCGTTCAATGTGTCAGATCTATTCTTGAGATGGTCTCCAAATTCAGGTGGGATATACTTAAGGTCATATTTTGGTTCTCGTGGACTAGTTCTAATTTTCTTCAGTTTCAACTTGAACTTGCATAGCAACGATGGTCTGTTCCACAGTCAGCCCCTGGCCTTGTTCTGACTAATGATATTGAGCTTTTCCATCGTCTCTTTCCACAGATGTAGTCAATTTGATTCCTGTGTAGTCCACCCGGCAAGGTCCACATGTATGGTCGCTGTTTATGTTATTGAAAAAAAGGTATTTGCAACAAAGAAGTCATTGGTCTTGCAAAATTCTAACATGAGATCTCCAGCATCGTTTCGGTCACCAAAGCTGTATTTTCCAACTACCAATTCTTCTTTGTTTCCAACTTTCGCATGCCAATCATCAGTAATTATCAACGCATCGTGATTGTATGTTTGATCAATTTCGGACTTCGATTTCCTCATCTTTGGCATTAGTGGTTGGTGCGTAAATTTGAATAACAGTTTTATTAACTGGTCTTCCTTGTAGGCATATGGATATTATCCTATCACTGACAGCATTGTACTTCAGGATGGA